GTTCTTCAAAAAACTAAGAATTGATCTACCATATGATCCAGCAATCCCTCTACTGGATATTTACCCCCAAACACTTGAACACCCATATCCAAAAAGATATTTGCACATCTATGTTCATAGCGGCATTATTCACAGTAGCCAAGACACGGAAGCAACCGAAGTGTCCTATGATAGATGACTGGCTAAAGAAGCTGTGGTACATATATACAATGGAATATTACTCAGCCATAAGAAGAGATAAAATACAGCCATTTGCGACAACCTGGATGGACCTCCAGATAATCATACTAAGCGAAATAAGCCAGACTGAAAAAGTTGAAAATCACATGATATCACTTATATGTTGGATATAAACCTAAAAGTAACAAATGAACAGGACAAACAGACACTCATGGACAATGGACTAGTGGTTACCAGAAGGTAGAGAGTGGGGGAGGAGGGAAGAGGTAGGCAGGGTAAAAGGAGTCAAATATAGGGGTTTTGGGAGAGGGTGAAGTGGGTAAAGGGGATCAAATATATGGTAGCTGAAGGAAACTGGACTCTGGGTAGTAATCACACAATAGAATATACAGATGTGAAATTATAACGTACACCTGAATATTATATAATATACAGATGGGAAATTATAACGTACACCTGAATATTATATAATGATATTAACCAATGTTACCCCAATAAACTTAAAAATAAATAGATAAAGTTATCTTCTATTTTTCTCCATGCCTAGATCATAAATATATATAGTAAAACTGATTATATATAATTTCATAATGAACTTACATCTGAATAAAAGAAAAAAAACTAATATGGGTCAAAACAATAAGAAAGAAACTTTAAAAACAATATAATTAACTATAAATACTATGTAAGACTTATAAAGGATAAATACTTCAATTTAAACTTCAAACACTCTTAAATGGACATTACAAATTACCAAGTACTTAAGGCTCTTTTTCCCTTAGGAAAATTATCTTAAGCAACATAAACAGAAAAACAGGTAGTTAACTCTCTACTCACAGAAAGGCTTAGATAAACACCCAAATGCTTACATTCCAATTTGCCTCGTCAGACCATCAAACTCCTTTAATCGTTACTAAACCACTAGGTTCAGTTTCAACACACTCTCATTAACTATGTTACAAAGTTCGAGACAGATAAGAACTAATGTTCCATTTGGGGATT